GTTCCCATCCCGTCCACACATATCGCCATGGGCTCCTGGCAGCTCCCCTCTCCCCGACTGCCGGCAGCGGGCGCCCAGTGGGGGAGGGGTGCAGGGCGAGGGGAGCCGAGTGATGATCCGCTCCTTGCACGTCACTCGCACGTGGCACAGACGGACGCACAAGTGGCGCGTCGGCGGCGACAGCGGCGCGCCGGTGATGGTGGCGGTCGGCTCTCCATGTCGGCGGCAGAGCGGGGACGGTGACGGACGGCTGCCGATTCGGCCCGCCGCCGCCTCCCTTGGAGAGGACGCCCGTCATCCGCTGCCGCCTCCCCCTCTGAAGAGCAGCGCGCCCGTCACACTCGGTCGTCTTGCGGAGAGGAGCTCACCCGTCATCGACGCTCGACGCTGCGACTGTCTCCGGCAGCGCGAGCACAGTCAGAGTTACGAGTCGGAACGAATTCCGTCCGAGAGGCGGACCGTTTCTTTGTTAGAATTCGCATGGAGCAGACAGAAAAGATACGCGAAACGGAATAGTTGGCTGAATGACATTTTATTATGTTTCTGATTTCCTAGGCTAGCTTGACGGTCTGATCCAGTCGTGGAATAAGAAGAAGCCAGAAGCTACACTTATATCCACGCAATTTTTTTTTTAACTTCACTTATATCCACTCACATTTTTTGAATTTTTTGAAGGAATGTCCACCAAATCAAGAAGCTGTAGGTACTCCAGACTCCTACAGCACAGTGACACATGGCGTACAGGCAACGTCAACAGTCAAGTTCATAGATAAACATGTTTTCCATATTTCTGTATATTTCAATATATTCTGAATAAACTAAGTACAGGGTGGGGCAGAAAGATTTAGGTACCTGTTTGTTTTCAGTCCATAACTCAAAAAGTTATGAACGGATTTTGATAAAACTTTGCATGCAGCTTCCCAACTGACTCATGTATCAACATTGAGATCGTTTTTGCATTTCGTAATATTTGTTGGTTAGATATGGCGAAGATGACTAAGAGAGCCCAAATTGCGTCGCTAAAGTAGGTTGGCCATAGCTCCTGAAGCGTTGCCAAACAGCTCGGTGTTGCCGTAAAAACTGTTTGCAGTGTAATTAAATGACTTAAAAAGACAGGGTTGGTGTCGACGAAGTCCATGCCAGGCAAAATAAGGGATATCTGCTTCAAAAAGCTGATTAATATCGTGCACAAGAAGGTGTTTCAAGTTCTAGGCGAAGCATGCGCAAACTGCCAAGGGAACTCGGTGTTTCGCCCAGAACCGCCAGAAGAATCATAAACGACCGCTTGGGCTTTATTTCATACAGGGTGCAACATCGGCACCTAATTTCGGCGGCATCCAGGGAAAAGCGGCTACACATGACCCAAAAGACATTTGAGGAGATCAGGAGCGCCGGTAACAAGGTATTCTTCTGGTCCAATGACAACATGTTCATGCTTGAGCCCCAGAGACACTCGCAAAACGTCAAAATTTTGGCAGATGGTTCACCCAGCATTGATCCTGCTATTCGCACCATTTTTCGTCGCCAGAAGCCTGCTGGTGTCTTAGTTTGGGCTGCCGTCGCATCCGACGACTCAAAAGGATCCTTGGTCTTCATCAAGGAGGCTGTAAAAGTTAATTTACAGGTTTAAGTCCATCTGCTGGTGGAACATGTTTTGCCTTGGGTCACTCAGTCGTTCCGAGACGGATACGTCTTCGTCCAGGACGGTGCGCCGCCGCAAACGGCCAACATCGCTCAACCGTGGTGGAAGACCCACATGCCTGGGTTCTGGGACAAAGACATTCGGCCATTATCAAGTCCAGACCTGAACCCGATGGACTTCGCAATCTGGACCATCTAGGAGAGGAAGGTGTGTGCAGCAGCACACAGCAGAATCACCGCCCTGAAGCTGACCCTTGAGACGGCACCGTCGAATCTTGGCGGGGACACCGTGCGGCGCTCGTGCCCCTCCGCAGAGGCACGTTTCGAGGCAGTGGTGAAGGACAAAGGTGACTATATTGAGTCATAATGCCGTCGCTGAGAAGTGTACCTGTTACTGCATATATGTGCTAGAAATCAATTTGATATCTTTGCTCAGGGCCGAAATATTTAAGAAAATCAAGAGGTAAATCTTTCTGCCCCACCCTGTAGTGGCAGTCTGCTGTCTGTCTGCCGGAGGGGAGTCGTTCTAGGTAAGCCTCTCCTTGTTTTACACGAGTTCAAGGGGAGCGTGTTGACAGCTCCATCCACCAGAGCGGCCCAGCTGCAGGTGATCGGGCACGTGCGGCATGTTCGCTCAGCGAGATGGAACGCCTCGATGAAAAGGCGAGCACCTCCGCTGAAGTGACGCGCCGGAGTGGCCAGTATCGGAGACGGATGACGAGCAATGGCGCGCAGACAGCGCCGCATTCGTCACACTCGCCGGCCGCCTTATCACTGCACCGCACCGTGTTCGCAGCACGTGCGCCGTGCTCGCCGCCGCCGATATGCGTCGCATGCACAATATTCAAGACAAGTGCGGCATTCCCGCAGTGACGGGAGACTGCGGCAATCACTCACCAAGTGAGTCACCACTGATGCATCGACCCAGGGAATAGTGCGAATGCTGCGACCGGCGCGGTGTAAAGAATAGCTTGTCGCGAATGCCATTAAACTGTATCAATGAAACTTATGCAGTGGCCTTGAAGAATTTGTGTGTAACCTTAAGCATTGTTAAAGTTGTCACGGTTATTACGAGCGAGCGAGCGCAGCGAGCGAGCGAGTTCATCCCTCGCATGTATAGGGGGGGGGGGAGTCGGATGGACCCCCCATGGTTTTTCGCAAATAACTCGCGTAACAAGCGGTCGATCGCGACGAAACTTTCAGTACTCTCGCATTAATCAATTTTACACCTACCCTGAAAATTTCATGACCCTGACCCAAATCACCTTTGACCTGTGACCTCTTTTCTGAGACCATGTTTGGCCGAAATCGCGATTCCGCGCATGTCGGCTCGCATTAACCGCGCGTTTGCAAGCTTTTCGTGGTTTCAAACGTTCAAACATGTGATTTGATGTTGCTCCCATGCATTAGAGTGGGTGTCAAGGTCACCTGAAGGTCAGGTCAGGTCATTGACCTTTGGTGACCTCGGGTGCCCTCGGTTCACTTTTTCGAGTTTTACATGTTTGTAGGCTAGTTTTTGGAGCTGAATTCGAATTTAGCAACCATTTGAACATTTACGAAGTAGTTTTGGTGCCTTCGTAACATGTTACGAAGCTGTCAGAGGCGGTTGACACGTACTACGAATACCCGTCACGACGCCTATTGGTTGACGTGACCTGACCCGACCTGGTCTAAATCTAAATGCTTAAAGACATCATCTGTAATCAAAACTAACACAATATTCGTGATCAGCACCCCGAAAAACCCCTTAGCAGCCACACATTACGACTTTCTAATAGGTCCCGATTTTCCCGACCTTGGGTCATTGACCTGACCTGGAAGGTCAACCAATGACCTAGGACCTTAAAGTTGGGTATCATCGGCTTTCTCTCGTCACGGGCAACACGCTCGTTTTTTTTTCCGCGAAGCTCTAGCTTGATCAGGGGCCAAACGGCAAGGGGGGGGGGGTCGAACCGACCCCCACACACACATTAGAAGCTGGCAAACGCCGCACACATGCGAGGGTTACGGTTGGGGACCAGTTAGTAGGGTACCGTGCAAAAGTCAGTTTGGACCCCGCTTGCACGTGCGCACGTGCAGAATGCCGCTTCCAGATCTCAGGAACGGCTGGGCCGATTGCGTTCAAAATTGGCACACCGCTAGCGACCGGTTAGAAGGGTGCTTTGCGCACGCCCGTTGGCAGTACCTACCCTCTCGCCCTTGCGCACGTGCAGGGCTCACTATCTCGCTCGCTCGTTCTTCGCCCGAAAGGCGTTTTACTGGTCATAAGATCATATGATTAGAGATATCATCAGTCAGAGTTCTTGATAACTCTGATGTCTAAAACCTATTTTAGGCGTTATTGTCATATTCAAAGTAAAAACCATGATCTTAGTAATTAAATACCTATAGTTTATATGTCATCGCTAAATGCTGATGAATCATACAAAAGTCATCATAGATGATAACAAAACGTTTATTTACACTTATAGTAGAATCACTTCTCGGACATTGGTGCTAGTTATTTACTTGAGTTACGTTTTATGACGGTTTCTAACTAGCAAAAAAAAAAAAACAGACGTGACATTTCTAATGTCATACAATGTATAAGGTGCACGATGCGGACTATATACAATATACCTACATATAAGCAAATCGTATTCAAAACGGTGTATATCTGAAATCAGTACTGCTCGAGATCCTCAATGGCAGTGTTAGGACCTCAAATCACCACAGCAAGCATAACGTATTTCCTCAGGCACGGTCCATTTGGTGCTCATAGGTCTGTCTATGATTGAGGATCTGAGAAGAGGAAATAAATGAAATCATGTGAGCATACAGTCAACACATTCACTAAGACTATCTACAGATTACGTAATATTAATATGCAGAGTGCTTAGCCATCGACCACGGGACATGAAAAAGTAGGTCAATTTGCATTGCATGTCACATCGGTGACCCTGCACTTCGCACACTTTGTATCTTATAATGAGTCGATCGCTTATGTCATACCTAATATCACAAACAGGAATGTTGCAGCTTCCATTCCTCGTTCTTCCTTGTTAACTATAAAATAAGCTGGGTGTGGCCGGTAATCAGGCAACAAAAAACTATGGCAAGGAATATGGCCGGTAATATTCTACATTCTGTATATTCCACACCTACAAACTGGTAGGGCGAAAACTGACCGCGCTTGCCACATGCGCATTATGCACAGCTTTCAGGCTGTATTCACTGTGATAGTTCCCTGTCTTGTCCGGCACTGTGTAAACAACGTTCGTCTTTTTCACGTGGCTTCTGCTCGGATCATTTCAACTTCCATCCACTGCGGAGTTTCACCGATTGCCGGACAAGCCCAACTCTTTAACTCTCGTCCCTGGCTGACCTGACCTCTGACCTCGATGGCCATCACCACCGAAAAGCAGTCTGTCTGCTCGAGTGCTCCCGTTCAGTCCCTTCTCGGCTGCACCGGCGGACTGTAGACGTCCGCACTGAGGTTCGCCGCCGCCTCCTGAGGCAGCGTCTCCAGATACAAGTCGTCCCCGATGCCCGAGTCCTTGCTGGGCTTGCCCTGGTGCGGCGCGGCCCATCCGGAGCGGGCAGGCCCGGCCACCGGCAGGACCTCCTCGTAGAGCTGCGGCGGCACCTCCGTGTAGTCGCTGGCAGTGCCGTCCGGCACCAGGTAAGGGTTCTCCCCCTCCTCGGCGATTCCCTCGGGCGGCTTCTCGGCGCCGCGCAGCTCCGCCCCCGCCCCGGACAGCTTCCTCGGCGGCAGGTTCTGCAGACTGCCGTAGATGGGTAGCCGGATGCCGCCCTCAGACACACACCTGTTGAGGACTTTGTTCTGCGCGGCGCGGCACGGGCCCGGGGTCGAGCCGGGCGGCGGGTCGGGCGCGCGGCGCTTCTTGTAGACGATTGTAGCGTACAGGCCGTCGTCTTCTTCACCCTCCAGGGTGACGTAGTGGCCCAGATGGTGGGCATCCACGCCGGAGAGGCCCGAGAGGCAGGGACTGGAGGGAGCGGTGACCGGGCGGCCGGCGCCCGCGGCCGACGCCGAGTGTTTGGAGATCGGGGCGCTGATCCCGCTGGTGTAGAGGTTCGTGGGCCGGCGCAGGCGGGGCTGCTGCAGCTTGGTGGTGGTGACGCCGCGTCTACGGTGGAAACACCAGCACAGCAGCAGCCCCAGCAGCAGCACCAGCACGGCGGCTGCCAGCGTGGCGGTGGCCAGCACCAGCGTGGACCTCAGCCGGGCGCCGGAGCAGTCCTCGAGCTGCGCGAACTCGGCCATCGGCACCGGGCCGGCCGGCGTGCGGCAGAACGAGCCGCGCAGCAGCCGCTCGTAGAACACCTCCAGCACGCTGGGCCGCTGCCGGCGCTCGAACATGGCCAGCCAGCCGACGCCGTCACATGGACACTGAAACGTGTTGGCCATCAGGCTGTAGCGCGCGCACGGGTCAAAGTGCAGCGCGCCGAAGGTCGGCGGCACGCGCACATCATTGTCGGCGAAACTGACTTGGCCGCAGAAGCCGCGGAAGGCGGCCGCGTGCGGCACGTGCAGCGTGTTGTTGAAGATGCGCAGGGTGCCGCCGGCCACGGAGAACACCTCCGGCTGCAGCAGGCCGACGGTGTTGCCGGCGAACGCCAGCTGGCAGGAGGAGCTGCGCACGGTGACGGCGGCTCGCTCCATCTCGCCAATCAGGTTATCGGTGAACAGCAGCGACGGAGGGCTGTGAACACGGTGGATGAATCAGAGGCTGTTTACGTGTGAGGTAAGCACTGTTTCAGATTCAGCTTTATCAGAGGAAAGCCTTAAATGTCATACTATTTAATCGCACAACTGTACTGTGGTAAGACTACAAGCTGCTGGCGGTTGCACTACACGCTGTTTACATGATCAGCCCTATCTCTCACTTCCTGCGTCTGCACGCTCACCTCTGTCCCGGCACATCCTCTATGGAGAGGGCAGCTGTTCGCAGCGTGTCCAGGCGGCACTTCCGCACGGTCACCTCGGGCCGGCCGGCGGCTCCTTCCGGCGGCGGCAGAGGCGGCACGTCGCCCGGCGTCGGCGGAAGTCCGGTGACCTCGCTGACCTGGCAGTCGTCCAGCGTCAGCCGCGAGCCGGCCGGCAGTGGCGGCACGCGCAGCACACCCACCCGACTCTGACGGACCGTCAGCAGCAGCGGGTGTGGCGCCGGCGAGAGCTGCTCGCCGTTCAGAGAGCGCAGGTTCACCCGCTCCAGGTGCCACTCTATGGAGAGAACCAACGGGAATCGTGTCAGATCAACATCCGGTGCAGATTGTGCCAGATACACCATCGTCCCCACTGCAAGTCGCTTGAGGAACGTAATGTGCTAAAAAATAAGCCGCGCTCGAATATTCGAATAAACCAAGCACGAATACAATGGAATAGCATATACGTTCATCAAGCAATTAGACATTTCTACGCAATCCTTGTGTGCTCCTTGGCACTGGGTAGCTCGTGACGCCACCCTCAGAGCTGCGCCCGAGTCGCTGTCCGTCCCGGTCCGGCTGGGGGTCGGCGGCCGGACGAGCCTCCTCTGCTGTGTCACCGAGCCTCCCCAGCGGCCCGTTTGGCCGCGGCGCAATGGCAGGATTAGCCACCGGCATGGAGCCATCTGCAAATTGATTGCCCACTGTGCAGCGAGACGGCCGCGCTAGTGGCAGCGGGGAGACTAGAGAGCTGCTGGCAGCGGGGAGACTGTCGAGCTGCTGTGAGCAGCTGGTGGAAAACTGACATCCCGGTGATCTGGACTGGTGAGAAGGATAAGGAGACTGCTGCTGGTGAAGAGATTTGTGCTGGTGAGCTGAATGTGTTGCCTGCTGGTGAGGAGACCGTGCTTCTGATGTGATGGACCGTGTTACTGAAATATATGACCATTTAGGACTTGAGTCTTTATTATTTGATCCTGAAAATCCATGAGCAATAAGGTAGGTATTCTAAGCAACCTTTCAGCGAGACTAGGTCCGAAGTAGAACGAAAATAGGCATCGTTGCACACACTGAAATACACCACCGGAATCCAGCCAAAGTTTAGATGGCCCTCCCCTATAGCATCTTGTGAGCTCGCCCAATATAGCTATGCAGTTGACTTTGGAAGACTGGGTACTCTGTGTTTTAGGTTACTAAACTACGGTGCTCAGTAGTTTTGAAACTTGTCGCTACGCATGGGGAGCATTGTACCTATAGGTCACTCTAACATAGGCAATGAAGCTACTACTGCGAGTGGAAACTGAAGATTTTTTTTTCTCGCAACGGTGACATTGAGCCGAGCTGTTTGGATCACGGAAGTGTTGTGCTGTTGTCTGGTTATTCAGACTACCTGGTCAGTGCCCAGAGGACACCGCTGTTGACTGACGCGCTATAGCACGTCCATACAGCGCGTCTGTATAGCGTGAGAGACGTTATAACGCCTCTCATGGTCGCTCACCGGTAGGGAAGGTCTTCTCGCTGGCGTACAGCGCGTCCACCAGCGTGGCGTCCCTGACGATGAACATGACGCAGGGCCTGCCGTCGGCCGGCTGCTGCAGCTTCAGGTCCAGGAAGGAGGGCAGCACCCTGACCGTGCCGCGCGTCTGCAGGTCGATCTCGAATCGGGTGCCCGCCTCCGGACGGGGTGTGATGACGTTCCAGCGCAGCACCACGGCCTGCAACAGTCAGATGGTTTGAATTGGGTTAGCGTTAATGTGAGTGCTTAGCGGCAGGGCTAGAACTGCAATGTGTCTCTCTGACCTGTCATTATGGGTTCAGTACGATTCAGTGGCATATAAAGAACGACTCGCGAAGTTCAGGCGTAGTTCGAACGGGAGGATCAGACACTGAGCGGTGATTAATGATGACATAATGTCTCTCTGACGTGTAGATTTATCTTGCTAATTTAAAATGTAATCGAACACCTAGTACGTGCATTCTAGCTTGTGACATTGAGCGTTGAAAATGACAGAGCACAGCTGGCTTGGACACCTGTATGTTAAATAGCCAACATCACTGCATGGTCCTACAATATGCACATGTTAATGAGTGTCGTAAATTCTAAGCATAAGTACACAAAGGCTTAAAAAGTATATTTTAACTGGGTATGCTTCCATCGAACCTTGATAGTGAATAACCCTGACACCATGCCAATACGCATTTGCTCTTTGATAAAGAAACGCTCTGTAGGCGAACAGTCGTGCATGCTTCCCGATTTTATTACTTTTTTTAGTTGTTTGCCATTGTAAACAAGTCATCAAGTTATGCTAATCCAACTATTTTATTTGAAATGATATAACAACAAACTAGAAGTAAAGAAATGCAGGGAGATGCAGCTAACCGAGAGGGAATACGTTTGCATTTACTTTTTGTAGTCCGTTGAGGCAGCGACATCAAAGATAGAACAGTTTTGAGTAGGAAGTAAAAGAATAGTTCGTTCTCACCATTCACCTGTATGTATGAAGATTGTGGAGGCATCATGCACCCCACCCGAAAAGTCCCTAAATGGCTAAACAGTAGCCTGTTATTACCTGAACGGTGTCTGCCGTGACTATGAAGAAGGTGCCACATGGCACTTGTCATACACCACCCCTGTTCCCACACTGGCAACGGTTTAGTGATTCATCAACCAGCGCTGAGTACCAAAAGGACAACATGACGCGATGAACCTTTTTTGTATGTTCTGCAAAATAGTGACCATTTCACGCAACTGTGGGGCTGCCCGTCGTCCGGCGCCGCCTCGGCGGGCGGCGGCTTGGGTCACCGATGGATATCAGCCGGCGTCCAACCGGTGTCCAAGTCCGGTCGGCAGCGCTGTCCGATAGCGAGCGCGATTTCGGGGGCGGAACACGGTCCTGCCATACCGCGGTCACCGACATGCCTAGATAAACCCGCCGCTCGGTTGGCCGACGCGGGAAACCCCTGCCGGTGTCGACACGACGTGCTGCTGTTTTGTCGGCACAACGGACCATGTCGGGTGACTCAGCTGAGTGTGTCGGACGGCGAATGATACGAGTGGGCTGTGGAGGGGTGGGACTGGGATTTGGTTTTCTGGTTCAATTCTTTTATATAGCTCCGGCAAGCAGTCGTGAAGGCTAGATGTGTTTCATCGAAATTTGCTTCGAGTTCCAGTGGCCAGTGCCTATCAGTTACCACTTCAGGCGATGAGCAGAAAGTCATGGCAAAACTGTGTAGCCTACCCAACATAAACGATTCGTGATATTGAGGTACAATTTACTTACAACAGTGTAGTTGTCTGTATTCCATGTAATTTCATTCGAGCTCTTTGATGTGTTTTCATCTTTTGGAAGCTATTAGAGTTGCAAAATTTTCCCCAAAGGCTGCTACCGGCCCAACACAAAATTTATGGGACACGATATCGGCATGCTATACCACACCCCAAGCAAAAAAAAAAAAAAAAAAAAATCGGCATGCCTTGCAACTCTAGAAGCTATGCTTACCTAGGGCTCTGCTTCTTTATGTCAAAGTAAGAGCATCGGAATTTCGTACTTGTGTGAGTTTTATCACCCCAAACAAGACACATGACTAGCAGATGGCAAACGAAATGATGCACGTTAGAGGTCACAGCCCTTGGCGATATGCATGCATTCATCCTTGAGGTTCTTAGCGACGCCATTTTACATGCCCGTCGTGCCCTGCTGTGGCGAAAATCTCTGGAATGTCAACACTGGTCCACCATTCTCGACCCGCACCTGCCATCCGTCTTCTCCGAGCGGACAAAAATAGTTTGGCCGCGTTACACGCATTTCTGATTGACGATATGACCGCTGAATGTGTGGCTACGGACGCAACTTGCACGTTTTCCAACTGATCGGGCACATTTAGAGGCGTGAAAGAATGCGAAATATCGACACATAACTGTGTGAAGATTGGCGAAATCGATTGACGGTTGTTGAAGTCTGAGGGAATGCTGTCGCGATGGTGTAAAGCGGACATTCTATGAAGGATGCTGCGATGAGTTATTGGTGACACTTGAAGAAGTGGTGTTTGAGATCAGAGCTGCATACCCAAAATCCCTGTGCATCCTTTGGCCGCGAAGACAGCGCAAGAGGACTGATAATGTAAATACGCTGGTGGTAAAATATACAAAAGTAGAAAATCGGCAAGGGGACGAGCGTGGCAAAGAACGAGTAATTGGTCAACGAAATGAGCTCAGAGACTGATTTGTGAATTTCGATGAGGAGATATGAATAAGTTTGCTGTTTGGCTACGGCAAACGGAGGGTAGACTAGCTACGATGAGCGATGGTTCTCATGGCCGTGACAGGGAAGCAAGGGCTCAATTCGACCTCCTCAGTCGAGGGCTGAAGGTCTAGCTGGGTTACCTGTCCCTCTGGGGAGGGGGTTCGGTCGTACCGCGCCGGGGTCCCTCTGCCGGGGAGGGGGTTCGGTCGTACCGCGCACATGTCCCGGCCAGCACCAGGTGGCAGTGATGCGGGTGACGGTCGCTGTGCGCCAATTTGCATAGATGTAACTGCCGATAGCGTTCACCGGCAGGATCGCCCTGAGGAAGTGAACCCGGCGACCGCTAACGACTGCCATCCGCACTGGTTTGCAGCGTCAGCGGGAATTCCGTGGGACAAAATTTGCATGTAACGAATAGTTATGTTTTTGTTACATTACCGAATAGCGAGCAGGATCTTGTTAAAATGTCTTAAATGTAAATTTTCACGTGATAATCTTTTGCAATTCCTTTTGAGCTACATGATTTACGACATGATTGATAATTTAGGACAACTATAGGCTGTGTACTTACTTGCCGAAAGGGGATAAGTAAGACAATTCGTTATTATGTGCAAGCAAATACCAGCTTCATAATGCCTTTGAGGAAAAGCAACGACTTGTATAACCGTTATTTCGGTTCTAATATGAAACGTGTTGGCTTCTCACCATGAACACAGAGCCATCGAGTAATGAGCGTCACTGCCATCCAGGGCCTATTTTAAATATTTGTTATCTCCCGCTGGTCAGAGTCAGGGATGACATACCCTGACTCCAAGTGACCTCTTCGAAGTTGGCTCGCCCCCGGCTCTGGGGCTGCTCTCACTGCTTGCCCACCTGCTGCTCACGCTGTACGAGCCCACTGCTCGTAAGTCCACCGTGCCGTTCCTCAAGGTGTCCCGCTCTGTTACCGAGTTTCTGACCCACCTGGTTGCCGTAGCGGCACTGGATGTCCACGGTGCCGTTCCTCAGTGTGCAGTGGCAGTGCAGCTCATCCTGACAGGAGACGGTCAGCGCCGGACCGGTGTCTTCTGTGTCTATCCCTGAGTCCAGCCCGTCCTCAGCCGGCTCAGTGACGGGGGCGACTGAGGTCACGGCTGGCACCGCTCCGGTGGGAGAGGTCACCGGCAGGTCACCGGCCCAGGTCACCGCGAGCAGCACAGAGCTCAGAAGAGGGATGATGGCGGCCATCGAGACCATCCCTCTGCTTCCACCATGAAGGGTTATCAATATATCACGTATGCACTAGCGTCCCGGGTAACACAGTCACGAGATAAGTCACGAACACGAGCAGAAACAGTCACGAGTCGTCACAGGACGGCCATCACTGCCATGACCGGTCTCACAGTGGCGTCACGCTGATCGCACAGCTGTGCTCTGTCGGTCGGCTCAAAATCTGACCCAAATGTGTGCCGCAGCCGGATGACTTGGCTGGCTATCTGTGCTGTGTTTCCTGTCCGGCTGCCGAGAGGCGACAGCGCGGTCGGCGCACACAAAGCGCCTCCAGCCGTCGCGGCGGTCGCCGGACCGCGGTCGGGCTGACTTCACGAGGAGCCTCGGCTGACACCAGCCGGTACTGAGGACACCGGTCCCCGGAACTCTGACAAACGCGGCGCAGTGCGGCCGTATCGGCGGCAGTTGCGCCGCAGCAGAGGAAGGAGGTGGAAGCAGATGAGTCAGAGTTCTCATGTTGACAGACTGTTTGTGTCCGTACGACCTCTGTCTGCCCACACAGATGAGCTCAGTGGCGCAGAGCTGCGGATGTCTTCTGAAGTGCTGAGCTCATGTGCGACTGATATATGTATGCGTCGCTGTCGCAGTCTACATACACTGCATTACTTGAATAAGAGCAGTAAGCATTTACTTGTGTTGCTGCTCTCTGAGTCTCTCATTCAAATAAGCATTAACTTTACCAAGTAAGCGCAAGTCGCACACGCACGATTTCTATTTCCTTATGTTAGCTGCATGCTCGCCATAAATATTACCACAGCCGGCGTAACTAAGCTTGCCGATCTTTTGTCAGAAAATCAGCAGCTTAATCACGTTTCCAGGTTTTACAAAGAAATTAGGAAGAAAAGATATAACTAGTTATAGGTATTATAAGCAAATGCACAAGCTACTTATCTTATGTAGTCTGTGGTATACTCTGAATATCTGCCTGCTGTCGTTCCCACTACGCCCCCTTGTTACATTGTCTTTCATCTCCCATCTCTTGGCAATTATAGGATCTCCTTTCAGAAAAAAATGGTATTTGGGGGAACTGGGGTGGCCTTTTGTACGCAGTACATTGCTTTGGCTCTCCGGGTCATTACAATTGCAAATATGCTGCCCCGTTGTATCTCATTCATAGTTTTGCATAGGAAGTAGGTTTGGACTTGGGCAGGGCATGCAGTCGCAGCATCAGTCTGCTCCCGGTGCGTGGCGGAGACGAAGCCCCGTGTCTGTGAGCGCGAACGTGAGGGCAAAGTGTAATCGGCCGCTCGGGCCGCCGCGCTGTGTGAGGGGTGCCGTACCTGCGAGTCGGCAAAGTCGGCACTGTGGCGGCGCCGGCCGACCGGGCCCGGGCCTGCCGAGCGGTGACGTCACGGGCAGAGCGGTCCGGCCCCGCCCCCAGAGCTGCACGTCTGCACCCCGAGGAGCAGCGCGGCCCCGCAGCACCACTGCTGCTGATGGCGGCGGTCCGACGTCAGATGACGCCCAGATGACGTCAGATATCGCCGAGATGACGTCAGTTACCTGTCGCCAGCGCACACTGAAACCTGAGCTCTCCAGCCGGCCTCGCTGGAGTCTGATGGATGCCGCAGCTGGCTAGAGGAACGTGATGCTGGAATATTACACGGGTAAACGTTGTGTAACGTGCATCATTGCGACACCTTACTGAAGTGGCCTGTGAAAAATTCAAATGTGTATATTCGCGCAAGTCCACTAGTTAAATGCAGTGTCTTTCTCTGTCATCTTCATTTCTCCGCTAATTATATGGTACTGCTTTTAAAAAGCATTGATTAACTCATGATGGCTCATGCCACCGAGCAGCGTTTTGCGATGGCTTCAACATTTGCTTGCTATTACAACATTTACGACCGAATATTTATCATTTCACGGCTGTAGGACAGCAATGTTTGGGTTCGGGTAGCTTTGAACCTCGCATCAAAAGTGGCATAAGATGAGCAGCAGCGCAATTTTGGTATACCTAATTAGCTACATTTATTTTTTGATAGTGATAAGGGATAATTAATGACTTTTGAATATTCATTTTATTGCATGGTTTTTCCATTGTATGTAAGTGCAGGTGGAGCAAACGCCAACGTTGCGTAGCGTCTGATTTGATCAAAAAGGGAATAGGGCTGCCGGCTGAGCACTGAGCAGTAGGTAGCATTGACCTAGCCGGACATTACACAAATCACACATTTGTATTTGAAGACAGACATAGTTTTCAAGAAATGTTTTTCGTTCAAAACTGCTTTGCGAAGAAGGATAGCAAAAACATATAAGGCACAACTAAAGATTGTCGTGATGCAGCTTTTGTCGCGTTTGTTCAAGAACTCTCCGTTGTCTATTCGTCCCCATTTTGGTTTCTTTCTCTCCTCATTTCTCTGTCTCTGGTAGCGTATCCGGGACACCTCATCCATCTCGGGGCTCGTCGAGCCTTCGTCGGCCGCGCCGGCTCCGGCGCCCCTCTGCCCCGGCGAGGGGACCAAATCCTGCAGCGGGGCGGCGCGTGGTGCCCGGCTCTGGCCGTAATACCCGCACGCAGCACGCCTCATTTGGGCCGCCGGCGCCGCGCCGCGCCGCTTGCCGTCGGATTAGTCGCGCAGAGTTGCCAAACTTAATAAATCCGCAAATGATTGGGCCCGAAATGAAACGAGAGCTATTCTAGTGCGAGGATTGTCTAGATGAAAGCCGCGGAGCCGGTGGAAGTGTGAGAGCGGCGTAGCCATGGGTGTGGGAAGTGGCACCGGACGGCCGCCGAGGCGGAGCGGAAACAATGCCGCCCTGCAGCAGGGATGGGCGCTTCTAGCCGCCGTTAATAATAACCAAGATGGATTAGCCATGGGTTAACTTATTCTATTGGGGGATATTTCAGCAGGTCGCCAGTTAAAACGGTTTGATGAAAAATGGTTACCTATATCTTAATTTCACACGTCTGAAATATACTTTATTAGGTACTCCGGCTGTTCCTGATATTAGACATTTTAGGTTGGCATGAAGATGCGGTATGAGCCTTTTTTACCTACATACACTTTGTCGTAGACAGACTGTCAACAGAAATACGACTACTACGCCGAACATTTGCTCAGCCTGTCGACATGCCAGCCTCTCGTGAGGCACAACAAAGTCGGCGGCGATGACGTCATTTGGGCCACTGAGCGACAGCGTCTGAATACCGAGTGAGCGAACACGATGTGTCACACTTCCTCCCATTCCGCTCTCGGCATGATAGCGCCCAGTTCCACGCCGTAGTTCAGCGCAGAAAGGGAGGGGGTCTAAGGATAGGGCGACTCATGGACCGCCAGTGGTATGTGATTAATGATGGGTGCTTGGGCGGTCATGCTTTTCGCAAGTCGCCGATTCAGGGTTATTGTTTTTGGTTGCCATTGTTCGGGAACTCGTGATTCAGCTCAAGCACTCCTTGGCATCTCCGGTCTAGTCATGCGTCATATGCAGTTTTAACCAGTTTGATAAAAGCATAGATGTATTGAAAGCGCTCCTGACGGCTGACAGTTTCTTCAAGATATACATAATGCGGTTCACCAAATACAAGCAAACTTATGTCAAACGAAACGACTTCACAAACGCAAGGCAACTTACTTATCACGGCTTCCTACCTATAGGTACACATATGGTATACAAATGCACATGTTGTTGATTGTGACATCTCTGCAGTTTCGCTTATTTGTGTATGCCTTCCGCTGTTAGACAAAAACAATAACTATATAGATAGCGATGGTAATGCATATGTGTCAAATCTCACAATTTTATGGTTCTGCGACACCTGAGCGAGCGTCGTTTCAGCGAACGACATTTGAGCGAAACATTTTCAGCGATTATCAATTTAAGCGATTGACTTTTTCAGCGATTGTCAAGTCGGCGAATTCAATCACATCGATTATCAACTTAAGCGAGGACCAGAATCAGCGAAACCAGATTGAGCGAATATATGGAGGTCAATGGGGGACCAATTGAGCGAACACAGTTACAGCGAAACCGAACGCGACGGAAGTCAATCATTTATATATAGTCAATCATATCATATATAATATATTATATCCGTACCATATAAATTTCAATTGAACACAAAATTTGTAGCAATTTAAAAGTAGCAAGAGCGATATGCAGTCATGTGAGCTATTTTGCGACATAACGTTCTAAATCTATCAAAATGTCGCTTAAATTTTGTCGGCTGCTCACATCCCACTGGAAAATCTATTATTTCATTATTTTATATTCGATATAGCCAAGCATGCTAAGCCGGCCATCGAACAGCTCCCAGGGTCTCGAATCCGGCCGACTTCGGCTCAGCTGAGGAGCGATTGAGCTGATCTTCTGAAGCTCCGGCGGCTGCCCCCGCTGCGCGTCCTCCAGCGGAGAAGTAGCGCTCAAAGCCGAGCCTTCCGCTGCGGCCGGTAGCGCCGCTCCCCGCGCCCGTCTCGCGCCGCCTCCCCGCTGACTGCCGGAGGGACGCGCCGCCTCCCTCCGGGACAGGGCATGTTTTATGTGGGTGTTAATCACCCATTGGCAGCGCGGCACGACGCCGAGCGACGCCAGCGATCAATACTCCATCTCCTTCTACCTGCCGCGCGTCAGCCGGCGACAGACTCATTCACATTCAAATTCCTTAACGAAGTTGCCCGCTTTGCATAAAAATGTCTTGTAAATATCATCGGGTAGCGAGCGACGGGATGGAGTCTGACCTGGGTCAAAGATTCGCGTTTGTTTGCAGCCAAGATGTGAGCCGTGCTGAGACACTTGGCTGGAAGTGGAGTGATGTGAATCAAGACGCCATTTTCGGGTCTGAGACGAGCTCCGGTTCGGACCGGATGGCTGCCGTCAGTCTCACAATGTCAGCAGAGCGGCTGTCCCCGCGCGGGACGGCGGCGGTGACACTGACGCCGGCGGGCGTTTCGTGTCGTCTCGCTGGCGACAAACACGGGCCGCCGGCCGCGCTGCTCGCAAAACACACCCCGGAATCCATTACCGAGCCAACAATGATCGGGAGCAGAGCGCCAGCACCATTCTTCGTCCGGAACAATGTGTCGGCGCTCGGCCGGCCGCATGAGCCGCCGTCGGCCCCGCGCCTGAGGGCGAATTGAGCGTGTCGCGCCGCGGACGAGCTCCAGCGCGGCAGAAGCCGTCCCGTGGAGCCCCGTGAGCGCCGAG